TTTGTCAGAGAGAAATAATTTTGGAGTATACTTGTTATTCTGAGTCCATCTTTACATCTCTAGGGAGTATAAGTTACTGGACGAAGGATAATAAATATTTTTCTAAGGACAATTCCTTCTCAAGTAAATTGAACCTTATTAAAAGTAACAGTTGTGCTTAGTGTTTATTGAGCACTTACTATGTGCCAGGCCCTGTACTCCATGCCTGACTTCCGTTTTCTTTACGTGAGTCTCCCAACAGTGCTGGGAAGTGGGTACTGCTATCAGATCCTTTGAAAAGGAGGAAACTGAAGATCACATCACAATCAGTCAGTAAGTTCTAAGTCACACACTGAAGAGTAGAGTAGGGCTTGGTTAGCAATTGCTGATTCCAAAGCCCACATTTTTTTAATATGCTAAGACTATACCAAATTGTTAGTAGGGAAAACTCCAAATCCCTTCTAATAATCCCAGATCCCTGTGTATGTACACCAAGAAAAGCATTTGATTTTAAGCTTACTGTGTTTTTTTAAAGGATGCATTATCTTATTGGCCCCATTTTATTCACATTTTGACTTCATTTCTGAGTATATATCTGAGTATATACTCAGTATAAGAATGTAATGATCCAAATGGGAGACATACTGTATCTTTTAAAAAATAAAAAGACCTTTTTATTTGATGCATTGTCTGGATGGAATGTCTCTTGGAAATCATGAAACAGATATTTTGGAGAGAATTTTGGTAGCCTTTATCAAAATTTAAATTGTACATATGCTTTGACCCAGAAATTCCACTTTTAGCAATTAATTCAAGAAAAAAATTGTACAAACACACAAAAGCCTGTTTACAAATAGCCTTGTTTGTAAATGAAAATAAGCAATTTTTTAATTTAAATTGAAGTAGCCAACATATGGTACATCATTAGTTTCAGAGGTGGTGGTCAACAATTCATCAGTTGAGGAGAACACCCAGTGCTCATCACATCTCTTACCCTCCTTAACGCCCGTCACCCAGTTAACCCAGCCCCACCCACCTCCTCCCCAGCAGCCCTCAGCTTGTTTCCTGGAGTTAAGAGTCTCTCATGGTTTGTCTCCCTCTCTGACGACTTCCCATCCAGTTTTCCCTCCCTTCCCTTATGGTCCTCCACACTGAGAGAGCAACTTCTCTACTGAAGTGTGGCTGACAATGTTATCTTTTTCGGCGCACAACACAGTGGTCAGCTTCTCTAGGCTGTGCTCACCGCAAGTGTAGCTACCACCTGTCACCCACCACGCAACGCCATTACAATACCATTCACTCTGTTCCCTGCGCTGTACCTGCCATCCCCATGACTGATTCACTCCGTAGTCAAAAGCACGAGAAATCAACTTTTTAAAATTTTATTTACTAACATGTTGGTACATTCGTATAATGGAATACTGTGTGGTCATAACAAAACATGAATTGAACTGGAAAAATGTTGACTTTTTTCTATAAGAACGACTTATACCACATATTTCCATTTGGGTAAAGCCAAGTGTGTGCACATGTGTGCTTGTACATGAATATACTCACCAAACAGTTTTCTGTGATGACCTCTGAGGGGGTTCAGTCAGCAAATTGGGGGAGCAGAGCCCAATAGTGACCCTCATTCTCGTCTCTCGTGGTACCCTTCTGAGGGGTTCAACTTACTTCCAGTTAGTGTGTATTACTGCTGTAATAATTATGCTCACTTAAAACAACTGAAAGAGTAAAGATTTACCCTTATTAGCTCTTTAACATCAGTCTTTTCAAAAATATGCTACTTTGAAATGTTTAAGAACTTCCTGAGCTCAGAATGTATTTAATCCATAGTAGCAAGCTGACCTTTTAAGAAGCACAGTATAGAATTTAAACCCGGAGTAGATGTTGCTAATCTAACTTTGTTTTGTCAACATTTTCAGCAATGTCTTCAATGATCAGAAATCAAGAAAAGAGGATACAGAAAGTGAAAGACCAGGAAAAAATGTTACTAAAATGAAACATTGTTTGCCTCTTCTTTACAGAGGAATGAGGCCCAATTAATTGTGGTGTTGCTTATAATTAGTGCCCTGTGTACTTTTTTCTTTTTATGTGAAAATTTAATAAAAGATACCCTGTCCTGTAAACTCTATTTTGAAATAAACTATTCTTGAATGCTCCCATAGTTAAACTTTACACCATTCTGGCCAGATGTGGAAGAGATGTGCACCTTGTAAGGTATGAACCAGTGCTTGGACCAGTGTGCCGGAGTAATTATGTTTTCATTATCTTTACTAGTGAGTAAGTAATACTTACTGTTTTCAGCTTTAAAAAAACAAACAAACCAAAAAAACCTGCACATGTAAGTAGAATATGCGGTATAAGGGCCAGAACAAAAGGACAAACTCCAGCGCACTGACGGGGTTCCTTTCGTGACCCTGAACTCACTGTTCCGTCTTTAGCGATGAATGTCATGGGATAACAGAACATCGGGGCCCCTACAAAACTTGTGGAAAGGTTTCTCTCTCGCATATTAGTAACTACAAAGAAAGAAAGGGGGAAAACGTGTTCTTCAGCCAGTGGGTAACTTCTAGTTAGAAGCTGGCCTGGATTAGATCTTCTCAGATTGGGGGATTTGTGCGAGTGTCTCCTAACCCCACTCGCCTGTTCTCTGCGGACACCAGCCAGCCGGCCTAGGAGTCAGCTCGATCCTAGCACGGGCGACCCACAGGCAGTGCCAAATTCTCCGGGCTCCAGGGTTCAGCGCCCAAGACTGTCCCCCACTTGAGATGCAGGCGCGTGGCTGGACCACCCGGGCTTCCGAACCACCTGCTCCGAATCGAGGTTCCCCGCACCCGTGCCTCCGTTTCACTGATTTGCTAGAACAGATCACAGCACTCAGCAAAGTGTTTTACTGAGTGTTACCGATGTATTTGCACGGAAGCAGCCCTGGAGCTGCGAACTGGGAGGGATGCGCGGGGCAAAGTGAGACAGTCCCGGCCGCAAAGCCTTCACACCCTCTCGGGCACGTCGCCCTCCCGGGAGCTAGATGCGTTTGCCGGCCTGGAAGCTCTGCAGTCTCCTCCAGGGCTTGATCCGCCACCCGCCCTGTCCCCTGAGGGGAGCTCTCAGCTGCACCCCTGTCATCAGTCTCTCTGTCTTCCTGCCCAGACCGCAGGACAGTGTGGCGAAGGACGGCCGTCCAGAACAGTCCACACTCCCGGGCACCGCACAGATCTCCGGATGCCCGGCTGCCCTGCAGGGGCTCTCGGCTCCCACCTCTGCTCTCACGTCTCCTGATGGGTTCACACTGGTCAGAGCAGTATGTGGCACACTCTGGCCAGAAGCTTTACTAAGCCTTTGTCTTTCCTCACTTCACATCCCCTTCCATGAGCTGGGTCCGGTGGACAGAGAGGTCCTAGGGGATGCAGAGCCTCAGCACAGAAGCAGCCTGGGTGACAGGGGGAGCCGTCCTTCTACCAGAAACACCCACTGCTCATTAGCAGTAAACTGGCTTCTGCTGCAGCCTTTTTTTTTTTTTTTTAAGATTTTATTTATTTCTTTGATAGAGATCACAAGTAGGCAGAGAGGCAGGCAGGGAGAGAGGGGGAAGCAGGCTCCCTGCTGAGCAGAGAGCCCGATGCGGGGCTCGATCCCAGGACCCTGAGATCATGACCTGGGCCAAAGTCAGAGGCTTAACTCACTGAGCCCCCCAGGCGCCCCCTGCTGCAGCCTTCTTTACACGCCTGGTGTCTGCCGGTGACCGCAGAAGGCATCAGTCCTCACCAGCACAGATCATCACCCAAACCCTCCCGTTTCTCTTCTAAACGGCAGCGTGGATGCTCTAAGCACGTCCTATTTTACAACGATTTTTTAAAATGTGCAGTTTAATACTGTATCTTACCTCAATTGGTTTTACTGTATCTTTTACTTCAGTTGGTTTTACTGAAAGATTAATTTTTATTTCATCAGGTAACAAAATTGCTGGTCAAAGAACTCTCAAGATATTTTTATTGTAAATTGTTTTACCTTCAATTTTACCTAATAGAAATGTTGCATTCGGTGAAGGGTAAATGCCCTAGAAGATCTTACCAGTAAAATATGAAATTCATCCTGAAGAATATAAAACATATATGTGAATTTAACGTACAAGTGCCATGAGCCAAGAATTATGTTCTTTTAAGCACTTCCCAATATATTTTCTATGGGGTTTATGCTCTTTTCAGCAAAGACCACCTATAACCAAGATTAAACACTGTTTCGCCAAAAGATGTTATACTTATTACAAGTTGTTTTAACATATAAAAATTCAAGTACGGGTATACATAATGTCCTTACAAACAAAGGTAAAGTTTTTTTTTTTTAATTCTAAAATGTTTTCTCCAAAGAGAGGAGAAAAATGGACCCCTCTTGCCTCTTGATGTTTGTTTTTTTTCTACATATGTGTTATTAGTGGAGGAAAGTATAGGTATGATATTTTACATCTAAGCTATTATGGTACTAAGGTTTAGACAAGTAATTCAGACACTTAATAAAGATATTAAAACTCAGATTTTATTTGTTCAGTTATAATAAAGTTTAAATGTTTTATTTCTTCTCAGAACAAAGATGTACATCTATATCACTGTCCTATTATAATTTTGTTATCCAAGATAGCTACTGGTATGAAAGGAAAGGGCAGGAGAAATGATTACTGTGGACCAGTCCTATCCGTCTAGACTGGTGAGAGAGGAGGGGCAAGGGGAGAGATGGTCCTACAAAGGCCCTAGAGGTAAATGACAGCTGTGCCCCCCCCATCCCCACTCCCCATTGTCAGGCTGTACCTGGACCTCCCAGGCCTCTAGGACCATCACTCAGGACACGTTGGGACACTTCGCTCAGTCTACACCCCAATCCCATTCCTGTTCCCTCTCCTCCCTGGCTCCTCCCAATGACCGACTCTGGCCAGGCCCTTTTCTACACCAGTTTGCCATCAAGACAAGGCCTTCCTCACTACCTTCAATCCATAGCTCACAGGTTAAATCAAGCAAAAAAAAAAAAAAAGAAAAAGAAAAAAAGTCTTCACATCCTTGCTAATCATATCTTGCGACCAGATATTTCTGATCACAATTGCATATGGCATTAATTATTCTTAAATATGAAGTGTGCGTGTAGTAAGGGGAGTTTCTCCAGCTGGACCAACAGGAAAGCTGCTCTTTTCGAAGGATGCTTGCTTCCCTTCCTGGGCTTAAGGATCAGCCAGACGCTCGAGCCTGAGCCCTCTGCAGCCGGGTGGCTTTGTGTGAGTCCTGGCCTGTCCACACTAGAGGCTTGGCCAGGTCACGCCCAGGAGGACAAAGCCCTGAAGAACGATGGACCAGCAAAACCCCACGCATCAAGGCCACGGGAAAAGCAGCCATGCGCGCTGAAGCCATTACCTACATATGTATAGTTCTGCACATTAGACAAAAGCCACTGGCAAACCTGAAACAACTCCGATGGCTAAACTTGGAGTTCTACTTCCTTTTTCGAAAATCACTCAGTGTGCTCCGCAGACCTAGCCTTTGCCAGATTCTGCAGCGGCCTCTCTGGTACTTTGAAAAGCGGACTCAGGGAATCCCCCACCACTTCTGAACTACTTTATCCTCACAGCCAGTGTCAAGGGACCTATTGCTGCATTCTTCCCAGCGGGTGATCTCCCCATTGTCTACCACTACGAACTTCCACGCCACCACTGTGTCTGCGGGCAGGGGCACAGAGCGGAACCAGAACCCATCCTTGCTATGCTGGAGTGTGATGTAGGACTTCCACCTTCCAAGACTCTCGTGGTCTCCGGTTATCGCCACGAGCTGGGAACCAGCGCTCGGCACATAATGGACCTGGAAGTGGATGCGGATTCGCTGAGACCCTGAAGATGCCGCTCCTGCCTTTTGTCGTCTCATGTCCACTTCCTGACCTCCTATTTGGCCACAGTCCATTCCCTGGTTTGGACTTAACCCTGGAGCCTCAAGACTGCCACTCATACTAACATCTCCCCAAGAAGAGTGCCTGGACACCATTTCCCAGTCCTCGTTGTCCGCGCGGTCCTGATTGCTCAGCTGTGTGAGGCTCACCTCCTTGGCTCTGTCAATGACCAGGTTGCTAGAATACAACTTTTCTGCCAAACAGGAAGCTACTTTAGCAAGAGTCTCTTTTCCTTTCTGGAATCTCCATCCTCCTCCAGGAGACTCAGGGCTTTCGTTTCTTGAGACTTTAGAGTAACCCCGAGAGTTCCCAGTCTCAGATGCGGCCAGAGATTCCGGGTCTGGAAACCTTCCAGAAGGAACATGCTCTCTTGAATGGTCACAATCACTGTCTTTTCCAGGACTCTGCTGTCTCCATACCGCTTCCTGCAAGTTACCATGGCCTTTGGTCTCTGAAACCAAACATCCATTGCTTTCTTGAAGATGCTCTAAGAAACAAGACGGGAAACATAATGGTGTTAGTCCTTGTGAGAAAAAAGGCTGAGAAAATAGGTTTAGTTATTGAAGTCTTTACCACTTATCTATCTGTAGCTCGCAGAATCCATCCGACTCAAAGCAAGTTCTTAATTACAGAGGTCAGACCCTAACAACCAACGGCCTATTCTAAGAATATGCATGTACATCTAGTACATCAGGGTGCCCGCGCGAGAGTGTAAATGAAGTGGCGGGTTGTAGATGCAGCCTTGTAACCCAGCCCTGGTCCTCGATGGTCTCCGCCGTTCAGGCCATGCTGGCACGCAGCCATGTTGTTCAGCTTCTAGCATCAAAAAATGCTGTTCCGCCTGCAGGGCAAAGATCCGCATGGCTACCCCACAGACCCTAGGAGTACACTTGTACTCTTAGGAACTGCGTGCAGACTGGGGATCAGCTCTCCCAGATGTGGGCAGATCCCCAGCTGCTGTCACTGTGGCGGATATAAAGGACACCTGGGAATCACTGGGCCAGAGTTGGGGGTGATGGTGGGGGGAGAGGGCTGGCTTCTCCTTGCCAACCCCATATGCAGCAGGAACCTCTTCAACAAAAGGTAGGCTGTTTACATCCCCTCCCATTGTACACTTTTTTTTAATGTTCTTACAGTGCACAATCCAAGCTCCCTAAAAGCTGTTTCCTTCTTGGCCGTCAGTCTGAATAGCTCCCTACAAGATGGAAATCTCCAAAGTCATACAGTCAGCACAGGTGGGGGTTTTCTCTTGGGATTAGGGGTTGGCCTTGTCTAATTTTATCTCTTTTTAATGGTTCACGTGTGAGACATAATATTACCCGGAATTCCCAATCTTCCAACCTAAAACATGAGGCTGGTTTTCAGAAGAAGATAAATGAGCTCTTTGCTCATCCCAAATCAACCACAGGAAAAACACAGAGGCAGATTTTCAAATGGCTACACATGAACACAGGCTCCACTAAAAATAAAGGTCCCGATGTCATTTTCACCGTGGACTGGAGTCCAGGCATGGGCAGCTGGCCGAGGGAGGGCACTGGAAGCGAAGGTTTTCTGCCAGTGCTCTCACTTGGGCTAGTACACAGTCGCTCACATGTACACACATAACCCTGGACGTCAATTCTACTCATCGGAGTTGGGTGCCCTGTTGGGTCCCTTCCCTGGCTACCAGACACCCCTGCCCCGTCAGCGCCCACAGCTCTGAAATGAGCGGCCAGCATACAGCCCTAAGGCTTCAGCTGAGGCCTTCGTGGCCAGAGACCCAACTTGAACTTTGCCTTCCGACAGAAGCGTCCGGATAGCGGGAGGTGCTCACAGCCTGGGTGTTCCCAAATCCAGCTCTCCCCAGGGGCGAGGGATGGGAGGACGTGCGGCTATGGGATTGGTACTGAGAAAGTGTCCCTGCTCGGTCGGAGATTGAAGAGGGTCGTAGGATCCCCTGGAACGTAAGCACTCCCTCCAGAAGGCCCGGCAGGGGTGCCCCGCTGCACCCGCCGGCACTGCGCCCAGCGCCGCCGAGCGCAGGAGCCCATTCCCCCTGGACGGCCGAACCGGTCCTCCCGGGCGGGCGCAGAGACTCTGCGGGGCGCTGCCCTCGGACTCTGGGGCCGGAATCCCCGGGGACCTCGGCGGAGGCGAGCAACCTGCCCGGCGCGTGCGCACCGGCCGGGGAAGATGCCGGCGTGGGGAGGGTCGTGCCCGGGGAGGGTCGTGCCCGGGGAGGGTCGTGCCCAGGGCGGGGGAGGCTCGTCTGCGGGAAAGCGCCGCGAGAAGAGCTCCGGGTGGGTTTCCCCTCCTCCCCGGTGGACTTCAGAGCCCCCGGCAGACCTGCCCTCGCGACGTGGGAGGGAGAATACCTGGTTTGGCGACGAGCTCCCGCCCGGAGGGTCCGGGGCTCAGTCCCCCCGCGCCGCCCGGATCGGCCCCCGGGCCCGCAGCCCCCCCCAGGAGGGGCGTCCGTCTGCTCCTTGTCCGCGTCCCGCAGCAGCCACACGAAGATCGCTCCAGCCAGCCCCCCTCCGACCAGCAGGGCGGACCAGACGGCGCCCATGGCTGAGAGGCTGCCGCTGCGGGGGCCGACGGCGAGGGACGGGGGCTCGGGTCTCGCCGGCAGAGCCACACCTACCCCGCGGCCCCCGCTGCCGGCGCTCTGGCGCGGAGCCGGTCCTCGGCGCCTAATACTCCGCGTCCCCAGCCCCGCCCCGCCTCCCGCCCCGAGGCTGCTGCCCCGGGCTCCGGCCGGGCGGGGACTCGAGCGCCCGCCTCCTCCCGCGCGTTCACGCCCGGCCCCGCCCGGGTCTGGCAGGGGCGCGGGTGCAGCGCTCGGCGTGTGGCCTGCGGGGAGAGCCGAGGGCGCCCGCCGCCGCCGCCAGCCGGGCCCTGCCCCAGCGCCCTTGTGCTCGCCCCGGCTGCGCGCCCGGCGGGTCCGGCTTCCGCACCTCGGCGCCGCCTCCCGCAGCCTTTAGCCGCGGCGCGGCCGCCCCAGACGCGGGTTCCGGGAACTCCGACGCGGGGGAGGCCCGCGTGCGTCCCGGACGCCGGGGTCTGGCTCCGGCTGGAGGGGGCGGCCGGGCGGGTGGGGCGAGCTCTTTGGGCCTCCGGTCGGCCGCGCCGTCCCCCCCCCCCCCCCCCGGGGGCGACGGGCGGGCGGGGGGGGCCCCCTCTCCGGGCCCCCCGGCGCCGCCCCCCCCCCCCCCCCCCCGGTAAAATGAAAGGGCTGCACTGGGCCGTCCGTCCGTCGGTGACACCGTCTCGGCCACGTCCCGCCGTCCTTCCTCCGCGACCTCTTGCCGGCGCGTGTGGCTTGCACGTCGCGGGCCGCCGGGTGCGCCCCGGGACCGGCTCCCGCAGACCGGCTGACGAGTGGGGCCGCGGCCCTCTGCGCGGCGCGGGGAGCCGGGTGTGCGGGCTTCCCGGAGCCCCCAAGGACCCGCGGCGGCGCCGAAAATCGGCGCACGGTCCTCCCGGCCCTCCCCTGCGGACCCGACGGCCTCCAGCGACAGTTCGCGCGGCCGAATCCCCGCCGTGTCCCTCGCCGGCAACGCGGTTCCCCCCGCAGCGGCCGGGGCCGCCGCCGGCCTCACCGCCTGGACCCGCGAGCGGACGGGCTCGCCGCGGCCGAACGAACCGCTCCGAACCGCTCCGGTGTGCGCCGTACTCGGGCACACGGCCCCGACCGGACTCCTAGGGCGCCGCGAGCCCCCTCGGGTCACAACCCCTCCGGGCCTGGGGGAGGGGGAGGGGACGGTGGGGGCGGGGCTGGGCCCGTCTCCCCGGACGCCAGCGCGCGGCTCAAACCCAGCTCGCGGGTCGGACCCCGGTCCCCGCAGACCCGCCGCTGGCCCCGCCGACCCCACCGCGGAGGACGGGCACCACCACACCCTTCCCGGTGGCTCGCGGGCGGCCTTGCTCCGCTGTTCCCCTCGCAGCAGGCGGAGATGGCGAAGTGCCATTCTTTCCATAAAATGCCCCAGATACTTCCCAGGTGTGATCCGAAGCCCGCGCTGGTGTGGGCAGTGCAGGGAGAGAGTAGGGACAAGCAAAGCACTGCAGATCCGTAGGTGGCAATGCCAGGAAGCGGGTAGGGGGCCTTGTGTTGGGCCCGAAAATGAGTGCATGAGTCTGCAGATGGCCACGCGGATAACTGTCCTCCCTCCCTCCCCCTCTACAGTGTTTGCAGGAGCCTCCTCTGCCCTGGGAGCCCTTCCCTGAAAATCCCAATTTCTATTGCAACCCCCTCCTCCCTTCACCCTCCTTTGCTTTATTTTTCTCCTTAGCATTTAGGACCTCTTTCCCCCCCCCCCCCTAAGATATTATTTATTTGAGAGAGTGAGTGAAAGAGAGCGCAAGCCAAGCCGGGGGCGGGGCAGAGGGAGAGGGGGAAGCAGGCTCCCCACTGAGCAGAGAGCCCAATGTGGGGCTCCATCCCAGGACCCTGAGATCATGACCTGAGCCAAAGGCAAAGGCTTAACCGCCTGAGCCACCCAGGCGCCCTAGGGCGTCACTTCTAATACATTGTAAAATCCCCGGATTTGTTCTGGTTGATTTCTTTCCTTATTTTCAGGTAAACTACAAGAAAGCAGAGTTTATTGTTCTTTGTTTTCTGCTGAATTCCCGGCCCCTGGAACATTCCCAGAGTGGTCCCTCAACAAGCACAGGCCGAGTGAATGCATTAAACAGGCTGCATTTTACTGCCATCTTCTTCATGTAGGTTCTATTTACATTTTCTAGCGCAATGAGGATGCTTTTTTTTTTTTTTTTTTGGTCAAGTAGGTTTTATGTCTTAAACTAATTAGGAAGTCAATGAACTTTTAAAGACCTCTAAAATTTAAAACCACTAACAACCCCTCCCCCCCCCAGCCCTTCATCTCAATCCAGGCAGCTTTAAGATTTAAAAAAAAAAAAAAAAATCTTGAGGTAAATTGAAAATAATAAAAAGTGGTATCACTTTTAAGAAAGTGAATGTCACTATATAAAAAATAACCTTCTCATGGACTCTGTCTTAATAATTCATTCTTGAGTCATAAGACTATTATAGATCTAATTTTTTAATAGAATTTTGTAGAAAATTTTAGAATTATTGTATCTCCTTTTTTCAAAGTAAAACTTGATGTCCTAGGACAAGGACATAGAATGTTCTTGGCTTTTACAAATTCTCAAGCCAACGGAGTGATTTTATGACTAGTGCGAAAATCCTTGAACATTGTATTTACTCACGGAAAACTTTGTGAGTTCATTGGTCAAAGTTTATCAATGTGCTCACAAATGAAATCCCAGAGGATCTGTAAACTCATATAAAGCAGCCCCACTACCCATTTCTAATAACTAGAAGGTTCTTAGTAAAGGTTTATTGTTGTCATCAATTGCTACTGATTAAAAATATAACCAATAAATAATGTAGTTCTTTCCACCCACCAGAATTCTTTTTCTATTGTCTCAGATTTCTCACGAAACATTTTAAAAAATCATTATTTGACCTTCCTTTTGGCTTTCCCAAACTTAAATGTTGACTCATCCATTTGTGTTGCTGCTTTAAAAAGAAAAAAAAAAAAAAAGCGGTACTCCACGCACTACCGTATTTCTTGGAAATTTGTGGCTATTTGATCCAAAACCCGCACTCACGGCACTAACTGGACCATGTTTATCACTATTCGGTTGCAGACCGTGTTGCCTGTCTATAGGCGTCCTTTGAGCCTAGCAAGACAGAAACAGAAAAGGAAGGCGTTTCAGTAGAAACGGGAGGAATGATGCCTCTGGCGGGTTGTGTTCAATTGGAAGCACTCGCAGATAGCTGGAGCAGGGGGCCTGCTGTTTCATCAGAGAGACTAGAAATTCCTCCCGGAGAGCGGCAGCAAAATCTGTGGCAGAGATTAACGTTCCAAAGGGAAATCAAAATCAGCGCCCTTCAGCCCTTGGCGTAATTTCGAGAAGGAAGATCGGAAAGCTGCCTCCCTATGGGGACTTATGTTGCTATTATGTCTTTATATTATATTTTAGGGGTCTAAGTGCCCATTTTCTAATTGGTTACTATTCTATTAGTAGAGTATAGATAGATATAGGTATGGGTGGATATTTTTAAGTTAAATATATGATAGGTACATATATATAATACACAAAAATTTAAAATATCCAATATTCATATCCATTATGTGTATGAACACAGATCAAAAGCAGCTTTGTTTGCGAGGCCAGGGGTTAAAGAGGATGGGAAGGAAGAGTTAGGGGAAAGAGAGAACAGGGAGACTTATTTCCAAAATCAGTGCAAGAAGGTGGTGGGGAGGAGAACAGGGATGTTGCTCAGCGGAATTTAAGAGGATAAAGGACTAAGAAGAAATGGTTGGATTTGACCTGTACGAGGTCATCAGTGAGTTCAGTATTTGTGAGGGTGAGCATTCAATTTTGGAAGCCCGCGATATAAACGTGGGGAAGGCTATGACATCCAACAGCCAGTCAGCCTTCTCTCAAGAAATCTGGAGGCAAGGGGTAGGAGAGAAATAGAAGTGACCCTGAAGACTAGAACAAGGTCCGAAAGAAGTTCTTTCAGACCAAGAAAGACCTACCTGGGCATGTTTGTAAGGAGCAAAGAGCCTGTGAAGACTGGACATTAACAAAAGGAAACCTCGTTTAAAATGGAGTCCTGCGGAGAGAAGGGGGAGCTCTCTCCGCCTAGGAAATCTAGAGATTTCCTGGAAGCCACTTACTTCCATGAAATCTTACCCTAGTCCACAATCCCACTCTCCAGCCCCAACCCTCAAACTGATGTGTTGGCCGACTTCAAAGAAAATAATTACATATTGTACACTGTCTTAGAACAAAATAGGAGGTTTTCTGTGCTGGTATAATCATTTTTCTGGTTTATCTCATCCCCAGACTAGACCATACATTCCTCAAGGGCCAGAGTTTGTTTATTCTTTGTGTTCTGGAATGCAAAGTCTATTATCTAAAGGCCTGTTCAATGACTTTTTTTTTTCATTGAATAACTCGTGTATACTGTAGGCTAAGTGCTTTTTTTTTTTTTTTAAAGATTTTATTTATTTGTTTGACAGAGAGAGAAAGAGCAAGAGAGTGCACAAGCAGGGGGAGCAGCAGGCAGAGGGAGAAGGAGAAGCAGACTCCCCACAGAGCAAGGGGAGCCCAATGTAGGACTCGAACCCAGGACCCTGGGATCATGACCTGAGCTGAAGGCAGTTGCTTAACCCACTGAGCCACCCAGGTGCCCTAGGCTAAGTGCTTTATGAGGATGATCTCATGTAATGCCCCAAGAGAAGAAAGCTACACAAGGTCACAAAGTTGACGAGTGACTGAGCTGGGATTTGAACCCAGTATTCTGACCTCCCAGGACCCAGGCTCTGAAATTCTAGCTACACTGAATCCCTCACAGCCAGCTACTAAACCATGTCCAAGTTTCAAAGCATAAATCTGTGAGGTGAGTGTGCAAATGTGGATGGGTGACACTAGAGAAAGCCTCAGGGTGGTTTTCCAACATTTACGGTGAATTTCAGCCTTGTTCCTAATTTGTAATTGCTCTCTCTGCCAGCCCTCGCCTCCTGG